GCATTGGGCACTTGCACAAGCATTGAACTCAGCTACCGTCGCAGAAACCCAGGCAGACAGGGATTTATGGCCCGGGGTTGTGGATGAGGAAACTGAGGCTGAGAGGAGTTAAGTGACTTGCCCAAGGTCACCCAGCTTGTGGGTGGGAGAGAGACAGGTCCAGGTTGGCCAAACCCTGGTGCAGGTTCCCCCACAAGGCCCCGCTGCCTGCTTCCTGGTGCTGTGTCTTCCGACCTCTCCTCCAGGACTCTGGAGCATCTTTATGGGGGCTGTGTGGGAAGGGGCTCTCTCCGCCATCACACAGGAGCCAGAGGTAGACCCCACAGGGCTGAGGAACAAGGGGGACCCTAACTTACATATGGCTCAGGAAGCCCTGGTCATGAGCCCTGGGCCATCACTGCTTTAGTCTTCGTTTTTTCATCAACAAAATGCGCTGAGTCTCGCCACCCCACAGGCTTGCTGTGAGGATCAAACGAGCTGATGAAGGCACAGTTCTCCACACACAGCAGGCGCTCAGGAAGCGCTGGTCCCTCCCACTCTGCACTGCATCCTGGCCGAACCAGCCCCAGGATGGTCACTGGGGAGAGGTTAAACGGGGCCAGGTGGAACATGAAGGAGTGGACCCCCTTCCTGAGGTCTAGCCCAGCAGCCAGGGCAGTCCCAGATCCCACAGTCCACTCACATTCATTGAGGACTCAACCTGTTCCAGGTACCATAGGGCATAGAGATGACCACGGCATGGATTTCACATCCCAGTGGGGAAAATGACCCTGGGGAACTGGGCACAGTCATAGGATGGGGCCAAAGTCACTGAGAATGGCACAGAGAGAATGTGGATATGGTGTGGAGGAGGTGTTGGGGACAAACCAGCCTCCCCCTGGGGACAGACACTGAGGACTCTGTGTAAAGGGCCAGAACTCAGGCCTTGCTGGAAGGCATTTGTTTTCCCTGAAAATGACAAGCATCTGGAAAATTGCTGCTGGCCCCTCTCCCTGATGTGACTTTCAGGCAGGTTGTGTCTCATGGGTGGGAGGTATGAAGACCCATGATTTCTCTTTCCAGCCTTGCATGCAGACAGGCAGGCCCTGCCACCCTCTGTCAGTAGAAGCTGGAGGGGCCGGGCACAGCCCTGTGGTGGCTACTGCAATTCGGAGCTGGTGTTTCTAGCCCAGCTGCTCATTTCTGAGTGTGGCTTCTCCTCACTGTGAGCACCTGCTCTTTCGTAAGGTGGGCACTGAGTATTCTGGCTGAGGATGGAGGCTGCAATTTCATTGCAGGTTGGAGCACTTGGCATGGAGAATGACACAAATTCTGGGTAAAATGCTACATGGGATTCTGCTGCAGTTACTTAATTAATTCTCCCATCTCCTGGAAGTTCTTTGGTGGCAATCCTATGTCTATTTTACTTACCATCTTTTCCTCCATGCCTGACACATGTAATGGCACACTTTAAATGTTTGTTGAGTGGTTGAAGAAAGGAGGCACTGAAAGCAGGAAATGGGTCCTAGCAACTCCATTAAAATTTCTCTAGGCACGGGAGAAACGCCGTGGAATTTTAGGAACAAAGATGGTGATAAAGAGAGGAGTGAGAAGAGTCAAGACGCTTGATGAAATACTGCAAGGCAATTGAGCCAAACAGTTTTGTGGTGAGAGAGCTATGGTGTATCAGCCAGCTCCTGCTGCATAACAAACCACCACAAAATTATTGGCTTAAATTAACAAGCATTTATTGAGCTCAGGAGTGTGTATGTAAGCTGGGTGCTTCTGCTGATCTGGGGTGGGGTTTGGTTGATCTTGGATGGATATACCCCTGCATCTGCAATCCGCTTGTGGATTGGCTGGGGGATGGCTGGCTTGGAATGGTCTCAGGGGAGTTGACTCATTTCTGTTTCATGTGGTCTCACTGAGTGCAGGCCAGCCCAGACGCATCTTCATGTTCAAAAGAGAGGGTGAAAGCACACAAGGTGTTTTGAGGCATAGATGGGTATCTTGACTATATATTCTCATTTCTGTATTATTGATGCTCTGGCATTTGGGGCCTTGATCCCGGAGACACCGCCCCTACCAGGGCTAGCTATTCTCCAGAGATAGCAAAGGACTCTTCTGAGAGTACATCTTTGATATTCAAACCAACCGATCGAGAGCCCACGTCCCCAACCACCTCCTTTATCTAACTCTCCCATACCAAGCCAATATTCTCCCTGCCCTGCCCTAAATCACCCCAGGTCCAGGTAGTGGACATCTAGGGACCACCCTTATGGGGCAAAGCTCACTCAAGTTATCCAACCACCCAACTGTAAGCTTACTCAGCAACCTACCCTGCCTTGCCCATTCCTGCCCATGAGAGCCCCAATGAATGCTCTGGGCCGTTTGATTTCCTCTTCTCCCCCTGCCTCCTGACTTACCCTGCTGCTTCCCTGCATGGCATGCTATGCCTCTTGTTTCCAGGAATCTGTGAGAATAAACATTTTCCTTCATGACAATCATTTCCATATCTATGTGTCTTGTAAATACCTGATTAAAACAAATCCTGGGTACATTTTAAAACAGCTGAGAACTGGCACATCACTTTTGCCATATTTTATGGGTAAAAGCAAGTCACAGGGCCAGCCCAGATTCAAGAGTTGGGGAAATAGACTTCACGGCTTGATAGCAAGAACAGCAAAGTCACATTTCAAAGGACTGGATAGAGATACAAATTGAGGAGCACGGTGGCTGTTTTCCAATCAATCTTTCACTTTTTAACATCCCATTATTCACTATTTATATTCTTGATAAAAAACTGCCAGGAAGCTAGAAATAGAAGGGAAATTCTGCCAACCGAGAAGAAGTACCTATGAAAAACCAACAGCAAACATCATACTTAATGGAGAAAGACTGAATATTCTTCCCCTAAAATCAGGAACAAGACAAGGACATCTGCTCTTCCACTTCTACTAAACATTTTACTTAAAGTGCCAACCAGTGAATACAGAATGAAAAAGAAATTAAAAGCATCCATGTTGGAAAGGAATAAATAAAGCCTTTTAGTTGAAGACAACATGATAGAGCTAAGTGAGTTTAGCAAAGTTTCAGGATATAAGATCTATATAGAACAGTCAATTGTATTTCCAAATACCAATAGCAGAACAATCAGTGATTGAAACCAAAGTTACCATTTAAAACAGCATCACAAAATATAAAATACTTAGAGATAAATCTGAAAAAGATGTGCAAGACCCATACACTCTGAATGAAAAACATTACTGAGATAAAGAAGACCCAAATGAATGGAGAAATATGTATTATCCATGGGCCGCATGATTTAATATTGATAAAATGGTCAATTCTCCCCAAATTGATAACTAGATTCAAGTCAATCCCAACCGAAAGTCCAAGAGGCTTTTGGTTTACCAGTTGAAATTTACAAACTCCTTAAAAAATTCATATGGAAATGCAAAAGACTTGAATAAAAAATAAAAAACTTTGAAAAAGAGAACAAAATATAGTTGGCATCATCAAAACAAGGTGGTATTGGCATAAATGTGAACAAAAAGATTTATATGGAACAGAATAGAGTGTTCAGAAATAGACCCACACATATAAGAACAACTGATTTCTGACAAAAGTGCAAAGGCCATTTGCGGAGAGCTTTTTCAACAAATGATGCTGGCACAATTGGATGTTCATATGCAGAAAAGGAGAGCTTTCATTCATACCTTACACGGCATAAAAATGTAAAGTGGATCATAGACTTAAAAATAAATCCAAAATTATAAAACTTAAGAAGAAAACAGAGGAGAAAATCTTTGTTACCTTGAATTAGTCAAGGATTTCTTAAATACAACACCCAAAGCATGACTCATAAAACATTGATAAATTGGATTTTATAAAAATTATATGCTAAGACAATTAAAATATAAGCCATAGACTGGGAGAATATTCTCAAAGCATATATCTGATAAAATATTTATATCTAGGGTATGTAAATAACTCCCAAAGCAAGCCACCAATAAAAAATAGGCAAAGGATTTGAACGCATCACCCAAGAAGATAATGTGAATGGCAAATGAGGACATGAAGAGATGTTGGACATGTTTATTCACTAGGAAACATACATTAAGAACCGCAGTGAGATATCACTATACATCTGAGGTATCAGAATGGCTAAAATTAAAAAGATCATATCAAGTTTTGTCCAGGATGTGGAGGAACTGGAACTCTCATGAACTGTTGGTGGGAGGGTAAAATAGTCCAACAACTTCAGAAGACAGTTTGACAATTTTTTTTTAAAATTATACTTTAAGTTCTGGGTTACATGTGCAGAACGTGCAGTTTTGTTACATAGGTATACACGTGCCCTGGTGGTTTGTTGCACCCATCTGTAGCAGGACGAGCAGCAGACAAAACCTCTCAGACACCGAGTTATAGAAGGAAGGGCTTTATTCAGCTGGGAGCATCGGCAAGCTACTGCCTTAAAATCCGAACTCCCCAAGTGCACAATTTCTGTCCCTTTTAAGGGCTCACAACACTAAAGATTTCACATGAAAGGGTCATGATTGATTTGAGCAAGCAGGGTATACGTGACAGGGGCTGCATGCACCGGTGGTCAGAGTGAAACAGAACAGGGCAGGGAGTTTCACAATGTTCTTCCATACAATGTCTGGAATCTATGAATAACATTGGTTTCTAAGTTATTAGTTGATTTTTAACTACTGGATTTAGGCCAGGCAGGCCCAGGCCTGGTTGCCTATCTTTGGTTTTACTTCCTTGTTTTTTCTTAAAACAGGTACTGAGTATAAAACAATGTAAAACAATATGAGAGGGTGTCTCTCTCTCCTCACATTAACCCTTAACCTACATTAGGTATTTCTCCTAATGCTATCCCTCCCCTACCCCCCAACCCCCAACAAGCCCTGGTGTGTGATGTTCCCCTCTCTGTGTCCATGTGTTCTCATTGTTCAACTCCCACTTACGACTGAGAACGTGCAGTATTTGGTTTTCTGATCTTGTGATAGTTTGTTGAGAATGATGGTTTCCAGCTTTATCCATGTCCCTGTAAAGGACATGAATGCATCATTTTTTATGGCTGCATAGTATTCCATGCTGTATATGCACCACATTTTCTTAATCCAGTCTATCATTGATGGACATTTGGGTTGGTTCCAAGTCTTTGCTATTGTGGAATAGTGCTGCAATAAACACATGTGTGCATGTGTCTTTATCGTAGAATGATTTATAATCCTTTGGATATATGCCCAGTAATGAGATGGCTGGGTCAAATGGTATTTCCAGTTCCAGATCCTTGAGGAGTTCTCACACCATCTTCCACAATGGTTGGACTAATTTACACTCCCACCAACAATGTAAAAGTGTTCCTATTTTTTCTGCAACCTCTCCAGCATCTGTTGTTTCCTGACTTTTTAATGATCGCCATTCTTAAAAAGTTAAACAAACATCTACCGTATAATGCAGCCTTTCCACTTGTTGTTATTTATGAGAAAGATTCATAGCAATGTTAACTATGGTAGTCCCAAACTGAGACAACCCACATGTCCATCCTTAGGCAAATGGATGAACACATTTGGCATATAAATACAATGGGATGCTACTTAGCAATAGAATAACTATTGTTACATGCAGTGACATGGATGAATTTCAAAATAGCTGCACTGAAGACACACATAAAGGACTACATTTTGGTATGATTCCAATTACATAAAATTCTAGGAAATGCACACTTTAGCGACAGAAAGCAGATCCACAGTTATCTGGGGATGGAGATGTGGATGTGGAAAGGCAGGGAGGACAGGAGGGAGGAATGAGGAAGGAGCATACAGAGACTTTCAGGGTGATGGATGAAGTTATTATCTTGATGTGGCAATGGTTTCAAGGATCGATATTTACATCAAGACATATAGCCAATTATACATTTTAAATACAAGCGGTTTATTTCAAGTCAGTTGTATCTCAATAAAATGGTTAAAAAATTCTTATTATTCAGATTGCCTATTACAGTTCAGGGGGAACATTTCTGACAGGAATCAGGTGAATGGGTTGGGGAATAAAGGATAATTTACCCAATCGTCCATGACCAACCCCATGTCTGGGCAGATGGCTCCTCATTCAGGAAGGGTCAGCAAAAAAACAAAAACAAAAGCGAAACAAAAAACAAAAGAGGGAAACTTGACCCAGGGCCCTGCTGGGGACTTGGGACAGACAGAGGTCTCAGTTAGGCCCTACCCTGGGCAGACCTTCCCTGGGAAGTTGCATCAGAAAGCTCAAAAGAGAGAGAGGAGCTTGGTTGGAGGGGCTGTTGAATGAGGAATGCCAAAGGAATGGGATCGTAGAACCTGGGGTCAGAAAATCTCTGGAAGGATGAGAGTTACCTTCAAACACATGTGCTGCCATGTGGAATATGAAGTAGATGCCCTCAGTGTGGCCTGAAGGAAGGATTTTCCAAGTCAAAGCTGTCCCGAGATGGAATGCGCTGTCTTGAGAGGTAGTGAGCTTCCCATCCTTAGAGGTATACAACCAGGAGGTGAGAGAGGCATATTAGTGAAGTGCTCAGGCTTTGGCATCAGACAGATCTGGATTTGAATTGCAACTTGGGTGGTTCAGGGTAAAGGACTTCCCCTGTCTGAGCCTCAGTTTCCTCATCTGTAAAGTGGGGTCATAGTACCATCTAATCCACTGGATTATCAGGAGGCCTAAACGAAGTCAACCCCATCATTTATCTTGGATGATTAGCAGTGTGTCCCTGCCTCTCCTTGCTCTCCCCCAGTCCCTTCCTCCAGAGATGATCTCTGTTGAGTCACAATCTCCCCCCTGGCCTTCTTTGCACAGTGAGCTGTGGCGTTGAGGTGGCGTTCTGGGTTTCCTGCTTGCGCTGCCCACACGTGTGTGAGGATGGCTGACTCACCCTTCCATGGGCTGCTGGATGCACAGATTCAGTCTTTCAGAGGAGCAGAGACCCCTTTCCAGGAGTGATCTGGGCGCGCCTCGTCCATCCACTGCACAGGGCTGGCTAGCTGCCCTCTTAATGATCTTCCTTGGTCTCAAAAAAATGAAGTTTAATTTTAGGCAGAGAAAAAGAAAAAGCTCATAACGTGTGTGTTGTAAATGTCGCTCCAGGGCTCCCGGCAGAGTGCCCAGTCAGTTTGATCATTTCTTGGGCTTACTCAGAGGCTCCCTCTGTGAGTGATTGGCCACTTAGCCCTTGTTAATGGATCTAACTACCACAGACTTTAAGTGTTTTCTTGGAATTGATCTTTCCGTGAAAAGTATGCTTTGGAGACGTGAAATAACCATCACAGAGCCTTAAATGAGTTACACTTTATCAAACAAAGAAAAACAATGCACTTGAAACACGTGCTGCAAGGGAAAGGGAGGGCCGTCTCACATAAGAGGGGAGGGCGAGCGGCCACGTGTGGTGTGCCTCTGCACTCCTGTCTTGCAGCAAGTGCCTGCACTTGCGTTCTCCGGGGGCTGTTAGTTCCGGATCATTTTCTCTGCTGTGTGATGTGGCATTTCCTGCTGTTATTCTTACCCCAGCTCTGCTGTTCTCTGGGTCATTCTCCCACTGCTGGAGGTGAGGGGGTGATCGCTTTGCCTGGTGAAGGGAGGTGGAGAGGGGTCCCACACTCTCCTTTAATTACTCCCCCTCCTCTGCTTCCCCATCCTGGGCCCTATGTAGAGAAACGAGCTCCAGAGACCCTGGGCAAAAGGGGGTGCAGGGGCCCCAGTCTTCACCAGCGATTAGAGAAGGGAGACGAGGCCCCTACTCACCCATTCCCCACAGAAGGGGCCTGAGGAGGGGGCTCAGTTCATCTAAATGCCCAGTTGCCAAATGTTTACCGAGAGCCAGCCTGTGCCTGGCTCTGAGCTGGGACTGCAGATTCAGGAAGGGCTGGTGACCAGGGGACAGAGGCGGGGCGCCCATGGGATCTGCTACAGTCTCTAAGAACAAAGTTGTGCATGGGTCACTCGGGTCTCAGAACAGCAAACTCGACCCTCCCATGACCAACACAACACAGCCCCGCCCGAGACAAGGGCATCCCCACGCTACTGCCAGGTCATGTGGGTCCGTCATGGCCATGGCCCCCCTCAGCCCAACTCAACCCTGCAGGTGGAGAGTGGGCTCAGGTGCGGCTTCTGTGCCGTGACCCGGCCATCAGCTCTGCTCTGTGGTTGATGTGGGCTTACTGAACCCTATCCACATGGAGAATCAAGTGGGCAGATGAGAGTTGGAACCCAGTGGAGGGGTAGGGGCAGGGGCAGGGGCAAGGCTGGTGTGGTATGAAGGTCAGGAACACAGCTGAAGACAGAGGGGACAGCCATAGAAAACTAATGCCACATATTCTGGAGCATCAGAGCTGGATGACCTCGACATACGCCCCAGTGGGCGGCTTGACAGGCAGGGCCACAGCGGGGAGATCCGAGACCTGCCAGCATCTGAGCATCAAGGCGGTGCTGGGGTGGAAGGGGAGGGCCCAGCAGTGAGTGCAGGTGGTAGCTGTGACATAGAGTCACACGGGCCAGCTTTGTAGTGAGGAGAGAGACCTCCCCCACGGAAGGGGCTGGGGTCTCAGGGTGGCCCACAGGGACTCTGGAAAGGGCTGCGGTGCCAGGCAGGAAAATTGGGTGGGCAGCAGCTGTATGTTGAAGGGTGAGGAGTGGGTCCAGAGAAGGGTGTTTGGTTTCAGGTGTAGCCAGGGCTCAGGGATCCCCTCTGGCGGCTGCATTCCCAGCCTGGGCTCAGGGCTCCCCTCTGGCAGCTGCATTCCCAGCCTGGGCTGCATAGTGAATTCCAGAGCCTGCCAGTGGCAGGAAGTGAGCTGCTCATAGACTTCCTGCAGTGACCTAGGTCTGGATCAGAGAGAGATGGAGATGGAGATGGAGCCCTGTTTATGGCTCATCTTCCTGAAGCTGGTGTGTTGGAGCCACGATCTCACTGAATTGTCCCAAACTTCCTCAGGCAGAAGAGGTGGAACTGTGCCTGGCAAGGCAGAGGCCCAGGGAGGTGGCCCAACAAGTCAGAGTCAGGGAGGACGACCTGGGGAGGGGAGGCTGAGACTCCAGGGCTCCTGGGACCTGGACACACCTGCCCTGGGCTCTTGTTCAAGGCCAGCTCTGATGCAGGGGGGATGGGTGGGCCCTGAGAGCTACTGCTGCTGCTGCACAGCCCACACATTGAGCAGCAGGGGCTGAGAGAGGTCATCTTTTATTTCACAGCATTTATTTCACAAGTATTTCTTGAGGGCTCACTATGTTGGGGGTCCTCGGATACAGTGGGGTGCAAGACAGGCTTGGCTCTGCCCCATGGAGCTCATATTCTAGCTGAGTGCACAGACAGGAGCAAGCCAGTGGTCATACTGGTGTGAGTACGTGTGTGTGTGTGTGTGTATGTGTATATATATGTACATCATACATATATATACACATACATATATGATTTTAGGTTGTGTTTTTTTTTTGTTTTTTGTTTTTGCAGTTTATGGAGGGGAAACTGAGTTCTAGAAAGGGGAAGGAGGTATTTTTTCCCACTTTCCGGATGAGAAAGCTGAGACTCAGAGAGGTTAAGTAACTCGCCTGAATGACACAGACGGTGAGTGGCAGAGAAGAGGGCAGACCTGTGGGTGAGCACAGTGCTTCTCGGGCTCCACTGCCACAAGGGCGGTTGTTACACCCCACTGTCCACCCCAGGTGATGCTACAGAGAGAGCCTTTATGTGAAGCGATCTCTCCTCACAACTGAACTCTTATTTCCAGTGTGTGTGGGAAGGGGGAAGAGGGAGGAGAAGGGGCAGGTCTAGTTGGGTGCGGATCTGAGGCTGGTCTTAGGGGTGCATCTTGCAGGGCCAAGGTCAGAGGACAGTTCCCATCCAGGGCAGGCCATGGCACTGGGCCTGTAGGGTTGGTCCACAGTGGGACCCAAGGAGAAGCTGAGACCCAGGCCCTAGAAGGCTGAGTCCCTCAGTTAAGGCTGTTCAGCCCTGGCGGAGGCTAAGGCGTGTTCCTGCAGGGGTTGCAGCGGGCTCTCCATTTGCATCCAGGGAGGCAGGACGCCTTCAATTATCAGCAGCAGGTCTTTCGTGTTTATCTCCTGGATTGAGTCTCTTCTTGAAGATAATAATTAAAGCAGGCACGTTAAGGAAGTAACAGCCCTGGGGGCCTCTGAGGGGGACCAGGATGGGAGTACGGCGTAGACCAAGGTTGAGGGGCTTGACCACCAGTGCAGGAGATGCTGAGGAATGGAGGCCTCTGTGAGTCCAAAAGCTTCCTTCACTACAGGGAGAAGGGGGCCCCAGTCTGTGCTTTACTCTGAGAGGTGTTGAGGGGAGGGTGGTGGAGGGCAGGGGAGGGCGCCCTGGAGGAGTAGTCAGGCCTACAGGGCTTCCAGTCCTGGCTCCACCACTTCCCTGCTATGTGACTGTGGACAAGCCACCTCCCCTCTCTGGGCCCTTTCCTCATCTGTAGTTGGGGATAGTGCTTCCATCAGCCCCTTCCTCCCAGGGTGGTTGTGGAGATGAGCCCTCCAAGTGGCACAAGTGGACACCAGGAACACGTGGCAGTGAGTGCAGTGATTGGGGCAGGGGCTGGAGGCAGTCACCGACCTGGGATTTAGACCCCAGCTGTGAGCTCAGGAAAGTTCCTCAACTTCTCAATGTCTCAGCTCCCTCAGCTGAAAAATGGGTTACTACCAGTTCTTTCCTTAGTGAGTGGTCATGACAATGACTGACATGGTGCAGCACTCCCACTACACACACACACACACACACACACACACACACACACACACACACAGCCTCGGCCAACAGGGGGTGGGCTCCCTGGTTTTCCTATGGGTGCAAACCCAGAGTTCATCCGTGCTCCTGCTCTCCGTAGACACTGGCCTGACCCCGGCTGCTGGTCCACAGAGCCCAGTCCCCCTCTGCTTTGCTCTCTTTGCTTTGCCTACTAAAATCGTTTACTCCCCTTTCTCGACAATGGCCCATGGAAGGGAGGATGCTTGCGCCTGGAGTCTGGACTACATTTTCTGAAAGAAAGATTGTTATTCATGGTTATGAGCAGTACAAGCCATTAGAGCTTTTTGACTGACTAACCCCAGTCTACAGCAGAGTTTTATGAAAAGATATATTCTGAATTGCAAAGATCTTTAGGAACACAATACTCCTAAATTATTGGAGAAGCAATGAATATCCATCATGTGCCTCCCGGGTGTCGGGCAGGCTAAGGTCTTTGCATATGTTAATGCACTTTCCACAGTGACCCAGTGAGATTGGTGGTGTTTAGTGTTATTTATTGTTTTTCTCCCCTGGCATATATTTGTTTCATTATTTAAATTAACATTTTTATTCTGAGATAACTGTAGAGTCCTATGAAGTTGTACGAGTGACACAGAGGTCATTCCCTGCTCTTCTCCGCTAAGTACAACCATCAGCTCTGGAAGTAACACAGGAGACTCCCAGAGGAAACAAGGAATGTGAGTGGTTAAGGACCCCAGGACTGGAGGAACAATATAGTAGCGGGCATCTCGATCCCCTCACCCACTCAGGAGACCCAGGCCCAGAGTTTCTCTACTGCCCCCACCAGAAGGTGGCCCAAGTAGGCTTCTTCCTCCCCACTGGATTTAATGAAAGCTCCACCCATGACACCAGCAAGGAGGCACCCAGCTCAGGAAGTGCTCCTCATCCCTGTGGGAGAATTTAAAAGTTTAATTTAAAAAAGAGAAAAGAAGGAAAACAGAGAGATTTTGTGTACCCTTGACCCAGTTTCCACCTATGGTAACATCTTTTAAAACTATAGGACAAATTACAGCCAGGATTCTGACCCTGGTACAACCCACTCATCTTACTTGGATTTCCAGTTTGTACTTGTATAGAGTGTGTGTGTGTGTGTGTGTGTGTGTGTGTGTGTATTTAGTGCTATACAATGTAACACCTGGGTTGGTTTGGTTATCCACCACTACAGTCAAGATTCAGAATAGTTCCATCATCAGTATACCCTCCTGTTGTGCCTTTAAAATCACCCCTCCCCACCCCCACTGCCTG